CCTGAAAATTTCCAAGAAGAGCTTTCTAACTACACCGAGAGAGGCTATCGAGTGATTGGCCTGGCTCACAAGCAGCTGGATAAGAAGGTYACGTGGCACCAGGCACAACGAATCCCCAGGTATCTTGGTTTKTCCTCTCTTCTGATTGGTTTATTCGACGTCACGAAACATCCGTGACTAGACCTTAGTCATATTGATCTTTTTCTAATTTCGAAAAACAAGGTCCATTTTGGTCTAGTTTGAGTACGGACAACACCATATAAAGCATGATAAATAAAAGGTGTTTGTACCGAAGCTAGACCAGAATGCACCATGTTTGCTTTTGTTCGGGTCTAGATGCTGTAAACATTCATATAAGTAGTAATATGGAAAAGAAGTTTGTACCCAAATAATACTAGAATGCATCATGTTCGCTCTCTAATAAAATACCTAGTGAGAAGTGTGATGYATATGTTGTCTCTTTAGTTACCATAGAGACCAGAATACAAAGGATGAGACGTCATGAATTAGAACAAGGGTAGAATATTACATGACGCTACCTTTGAAGTCCTTTTACATTGAGTGTAACGTTTCCCGCTTAATAGCTCGTATCATTCTCTTAAGTACTATTTCTTTATTTGAATCAAAACCCAAGATATTTCAAAAAAAACTTACGCCCAATGCAAAACAGTCCACCGTAAAAAAATCGGCAAGCCCGGAGAACTTGGAGAAAAATCAGTGGGATGTGTTTTATTAGACCATAAAGTGACGTCATTTTTATTGTCACATAGGGAGCARGTCGAGAAGGATTTGGCGTTCATTGGTTTATTGATAATGCAGAATGCACTTAAACCCGAGTCATTACCGATNTAAATCTGCTGTACCCGTCTTCGTAAATCCGCGAGTTAAACCCGTATATCTTTGGCATCGATCGCGAGTCCCCCTACCTGCTGCTTCATTCATTGCTATGAATTTTTTTTTGATAATTCATAAAATCGTTTATTATCCTTTTTAAATATAAAACTTTCTATTCAATTTTACTGAATTTGCGTTCTTCAGTTTTGTGGCCCGTAAAGTTGGATGCGCACGTAACCTTATGAAAAGGGTCTATAGAGCGTTTTCATTCTCGCGACAAGGCAACCATATTGGTGTACCAAACGATGGAAACTTTCTTCACAGTTTTTGCATAAAAAAGAGTTCAATGTCCCGAGCATAGAAAATGTATTGTTTTGGTATACCAATATGGCCGCTGTGACGTCACGTCAAAACGCTCTATTCATGGTTTCTCTTCCCGGATATATGGCGTTAGCTTTATATTTATTTTAGTTATTTATTTTTAATGGACTTTTGTTGGTGTTKTTATATAGGAGACAATATGCTGACAGCTGTGAGTGTCGCAAGGGAGTGTGGGATCGTTGGTTTCGATCAAAAAGTAAGTATATAAAGGTTAAGATGATAATGGTGATGATAAAGGTGATGATGATGACGATGATGAAGGTGATGATAATGATAATGGCGATGATGAAGGCGATGATGTTGATAATGGTGATGATGATACTGATGATAATGATGATAATGAGGGTGATGAAGGTAATGCTGATAATGATGATTAAGGTGATGATGGTGACGATGATTGTAATGATGATGGCGATGATGACGATGATAACTATAATGGTGGTGATGTTGGTAACGACGATGATGATGGTGATATCCTCAGGTCATTCGAGTCAACAACAGCCCTGATGAAGAAAGGCAATTGATATGGAACGTTGTAGGAGAAATACGCAAAGATTCTCCGCTGTCAGACGTAAGTATAGCCATAATGTTTCTTCAAATCTCATTTCTCACTCCACGTGTTATGTCCTTGAGAATAAGATTCCTTGTTTGAAATCTACTCGTGAGCGCAACCATTAAACAAAATAATCATACTCAAGGGAATAAAACATGGTTTTCAAATGGAATATGTGATTTTTTAACATGTACACATGACACCGAGGAATGAGTCTGATATCTTTAGCAATTCCTGTCTCGCAAAGAAAGCGCAGTCAACTTTGCAGGCTAGGCGAATTGGTTTGCTTATCAAAATAATTAATMTTTTACTCTTTTCAGGCCACACCACTTGAAGTAAATCATCGTAGTCGCAAACCCTTCCACATCGCTACCTCAGGGAAGACATACGCGTTCATCAGAGATAACAGACCAGACCTCTTAGATAAGGTATGGCACAAATGAAAAAAATTACGCTATTTCGACTATGCTGCGTGATACCCAATAAATGTTTTATATGCATTGTTCAAAAAGATTAGCATCTGTTTCAGCAAAACGCACCGTGTTTGAGCCGTGGATAAAAATGAGCGGGAAAAAACGACCTACAGACAACCGCTGACCTACAGGCTTGTTTTTGCCGATAACTGCTACAATAACTATCGACCACTGAAAAGTCGCTGGCGAATGCTGAGTGTCACTCATTCCCTTGAGCATCATTTCTTTGTTTAATGGTTGTACAAGAGAAGACACATGAATATGGATACAACTCAAACAAAGAATATTATTCTCAAGGGAATGACACGTGGTCTGAAATGGGAAATTTCAGATGTCTTCACATGTGCAACCACAAATAAAAGAAATGATACTCAAGGGAATGACACGTGGTCTGTAATGGGAAAACATTACTCCTGAGCCGAGAAGGTCTATCATTTCTCATGTAAATCAGATTAGACCAGATTCAATTGTTCCTGCCTCCTGCCATGGCTACCATCACGTGATAGTGCAAAGTGATGATGTATGTAACAAGATACACAACCGGTTTAGTTCCCCTAATTCTTCCATTGTTTTTTTATTTTTTTATTTTTTTTTATTTTTTTGCTTGCAGCTTCTCATCTATGGTGCAGTGTTCGCTCGAATGTCACCTGAGCAGAAAACTCATCTGATAGAAGATTTACAGTCACTAGAGTATGTTTGACAACTTTTATCGTTATTATTACTGGTATAAAATAAAATATGATTTTAAAGAGGAAATGTGAAAATTTGTCTAGATTCTATCGTTTAACTATTCAATCAGTGATTGSCTAATTTGTATGAAAATTTGTCTGGATGGCAATGGTTGATGTAGTCGCACAGTAAGTTTAATTCTGAGATAGGTAAATACAGTATTTTTAATATAATCATTGCAACCCAAAGGGTTGAATTACACTAATATTTAYAAATGATAAGAAACTAAATATTAGCGTAATTCAATCCTGTAGGCCGCAGTGCTTTTATTAATAAARTATCTATCTATCTATGTTACTGACATTGATTGACAGCTATCATTAATTGTTAGTAAAAATAATAGTGCATCAGTTTGTGTAACAATTTATTACATCTCTCGTTGGTCCACAGTTACTGTRTTGGTATGTGTGGTGATGGAGCGAACGATTGTGGGGTAAGTAGAAAGCTTGATGCCAATTMCAGACGACGTTTTCCCGTCGTTTTTTTACAGAAAAAAGACACTCTTTGAAGAAAAACCCTTGCAAAATGCTTGTTCTCTTGTTTTGTTTGTCATWTTTGGATAATTGGTTTTTGTGCTTCAGGCGCTCAAGGCGGCTCATGCTGGCATCTCGTTATCAGAAGCAGAAGCATCCATAGCATCACCGTTCACATCTAAGGTAACGAAAAAATACACGGAAAGACGGACGGACGGTTAGACAGACATGATTCTTATTTGACTTTGGTTTATCTGTTTTATAGATTCCCAATATTGAATGTGTACCCAAGGTTATAAAGTAAGTATTCTCTTTTCTTTTGGGTACGTGTTTGTGCTACGTGCTACAATAAGTTTCGTATGACCATGAAAGGGCACTGCACACGTTACGGTCACATTACATAAATGATGACATTGGTTCAACCAACACGATTCCTTGCTTGAGTATAAGGTCTTTCTTTCGAGATTATTGACAATATTCTCTGTTTTTACCAGGGAAGGACGTTGTGCCCTAGTAACCTCGTTCGCATGTTTCAAGTACATGGCCTTGTACAGTATAGTACAGTTCGTATCAGTCCTTATTCTTTACTCGGTAAGGATGAATAAAGCGTGCAAAATAATATTAGGCTAATATTAGACAAGATAATATTAATGAAAATTCAGGCTAAAGAACTTTTTCGTATCTCAGACAACGGGAAAGGTTTCTGCTTGTCGATATGGTTGCTATAGACCCCTTGCATTGATTTCGTATAGGAATTGTTTTGGTGGACAAAATAATAGGCCGTCTTTTCTTATGCCAAAAAARATCCATTGTTTTGTCCCCCAGAAAAATTCCTCTCGGGACTCAGTGCAAGGGGTCTATATGACTACTGTGTTGTAACTTGTATTTTCCACTCTTCGTAGATTGGTTCTAACTTAGGTGACTGGCAGTTTTTGTACATTGATCTCATCATCATCACGAGCCTCGCTCTTGTCAGTGAGTATTWTGGGAGCAATTTTGGGTTGTATGATTGACTTACAGTCTGATTTGGTTAACTAGTCAGTGATTTCTCAGTTGACAGACCTGCCAGCTGGTTTATC